GTCAAAAGGTCGAGCACCAAAAGGTCGAGCACCAAAAGGTCGAACACCAAAAGGTTAAGCACCAACACCACCATGGTCGAGCACCAAAAGATCGAGCACCAAAGATCGAAACCAAGAGTCTTGTTGGCATGGCCAATATATATATCAGTTGACTTTCCACTGGCCCGAATCAAACGCGGTCCCTCCGTTTCTGGATCAACTCCTTCACACAAGAAATCCCAGAATGCCACAACATCGTATATGTCGCTGTTCATCCTGCTCTTCAACGACCAATGGCTTCCGAATTCTCAGCGAGGCGAGATTTCACAGTCATGCAAATTTGATTGCCGAGCCACCAACTCCATTCGAAGAGATAGTCAAAGAGTACCAATCGTATCGTCAGCATGATCTAGTTACCAGCAAACTGGTGTTCAGGAAAGACCTTAATACCCATCCATCAACCATATCCGCCATGCTTACAGAAGATCTGGAAAACACTTTTCTTGTTCGATATGAACTATGGCATCAAAATGCAATAAACATCATACAGAAATCTCCTTGCGAGATCGATCATGATGAAATCCTCCAAAACCTCTTAGATCTCTATTCAAAAGTTTTGTCAGCAGTCTTTGAGGAGTCCCGGAAACGGCAAAATCATACATCCAAAGTTCGTTCCAGCTCCGATCAGCATTTATCCGTGCAAGCTAGGCAATTCATCATTACAAGCATCAGTCAATATCAGGAACCAAAGACGTTGGCGTTCCTTTCCCCTTATCCAGACCATGAGCTTTCCTGTCGTCCCGCACTTTCCTACGATCACCTAGGCCTAGATCCCAAAAATTGCATTAACCGCGACACTATCGATCATTTAGACTGGTTAAATGCAACGCTGTGCGAACTAGAAGAGAATCAAACATTACCAAGCGCTGAGCGCCGCCGTATGGTCTTGGGGCTGGGTGAACATTACCGGAATGTAATCTCTTTCATAGAAGCTAAAAGGCTTCAAAAATCTTGTCCAGAAGCGAACATTCGGGCTATAATCACCAGTGCGTTTTCTTTGATCCCATTCTAGTCACTAGGTCTGATCTCTAATGCAGATACCTATAAACCCATCCTTCTCTTCA